TTTTTTTTTAAATATATACTTATTTTTATTTTAGATTTGGATCATAATCACAGTCATTTTGGGTAGCTAAAAAACCTACTTTACTGTAATGCTTCTCTATATACAATATTAGACGTATGGCCATCGGCGGTGAAAGCATACAGGCTGCTGGGATTGCTAACACGGGACAGAGCCACATACAATTGACCGTGCGAAAAACAGCTGATACTTAGATCTATACCCACAACTTTTAAAGTCTGACCTTGAGCTTTATTAATTGTCATGGCGAAACATAGGCTCACTGGAAACTGAATTCGTTTAAAATTAAACGGAAATTTTTTTGCAATGAGAGAAATCTGAGGAATAAAACCACTATCACCTTTTCCGCACCCTATTAAAAATATACATATATATTTATATATAATAGATATAGATAGATGTATGTATAAGCATAGAATAGTGTTCGACGTGATTCTTTAATTTGACATAACTTTTTTATTTATGAACCGATTTACATGAAACAAACACTAAAGCATAACTGAAGCATACCACAATATAATCATGAAAACCGCATCCAACTCGGATCAGCCGTTTCTGAGATTAGCGTGAACAGACAAACAGACAAACAGACAAAAAAAAAGTTAGTTACATTTTTGGGTTCGACATCGACATAACAATAGCCCCTGCTATTTTTTTTATTTTTATTTTCAATGTACAGACAGCACTTTTCAACAATTTTATTATATGTATAGATTATAGCCCGCTTTGTGTTCGAAAATATTCGATGAACTGTTTTAATCAAATTTTAATCGCAGTTTTCGAATGTAAATACCAGATTATATTTTCATTTTTAATAAAAGATATCAATCTTTATCCATATATGACTAAAAAAAAATTAAAAAAAAAACACTCGTTTATACTATTTTAATTCTTTTATTTAGATTTTAGTACTTTAAAATTTCAAATACTCATTTGAAATTAACAAAGTACTAAAATCTGTTATAATAGTCTCAATGATCAAGAAACCCAATAAATATGCTTAAGATTTCTAATTAACCAAATTGATTGAAAAGATTAATTAACCTAAAAATAGGGTGGGTATCATTTTGTATTAAAATCAAGACATCTTCATGTAGCCGTTTAAAAGTGAAAGACATAAAGATATGTTTAAAAAATTGCTTTATTATCTATAAAATTTTAAAAAAAAATCACTCAAAAACGCATGACACACGTAACTTAATGAATGAATACGTTTAGAGAAAAACGAAGGCCGCCCCTCTTTTTGAAATTAATATATTATAATCTTCTTATAAGTGTAACTAAATTTTTCTGAAAACTGCATCAAAATAGTACAAACAAACTGAGAACCTCGTTTTTGTGAAGTCGGTTTAAAAATTATGTTACTATCAGACATCGAATTACTAGTATCTTCATTAAAAAATCTGGCCAAACCAGAAGATAAGCCTTTTGTTAAAAACAACTTATCAACGGCAATCCAAAAATATTATTCAAGAAATGGTCACCGTACATCGAAAAAATTTAATATGGAGTCTGTTGATATTAAACACACCATGAAGATTTATATTAATAGCTTTAAAGGGGAAATTAAAGGGTTCATGGGATAAACAACCTAAATCACCTTTATTTTAAAAGGGATTAAAAATATTGTGATTAAAAAATATCAGTTCCTTCCACGTGCACTGTAGTGTACACATATTCGATATTACATTTTAATTACTTTAAATTATTATAATTTTACAACATTGTAATTAAAATCATAATAGATTGGATATAGTACTCCATAATAGATTTCGGTAATTAAAATTTCTATTTTACACAGATCAATTAAGGGTTTCATAAATTTAATTTATTATGTGATAATAGTGATTAAATTAAAATCAATATTGTTTAATGTATATAATACATGATACAAATTAACTTACAATAAATTATCTGTGTGTATTTATTTAATAAAATACTTATTTTTTAGGTATGTTAGTTACATTACTGAGCAAAGAGTCAAGCAAATCAATGTAGTACTATTAAAAAAAGTTGTTTTTTTATCCACAATGTAAATACGTTCGCATTTCATCATAAGCATATAATTTAAACAAACTACAATACATATTTCTTATCCATATTAAACAAAATGATGGATCAGACGAACATTCAAGAGAAGATGAAATTATCCGTGTATTCATCCACTCCCACACAATAAAAACAATTTAATAGATTTACTAAATCTACGATATTTACGTAAGACGCTCATAAAACATACCAAATTGAAGATTTTATATAAATAACTTGCCACAATAATACTAAAATCTATAGAAACACGAACAATAATTTATAAATAGTGTACTAAAATTATGAATGGGATTGTAATAAGAGGCGTCCTTGTTATCTGAATATTTTGGGGCGACAGCCTTGTTCATGCAACGAGCTACACACCTGCACGCTAGCCATTCGACGTCCGACCACCGTACTGAGCGGACGTCTTCGGAATTTTCCGACTTTACCCGAACGCGATCGGCCGCGAGTGAATCTCGGTGTTTACGTTCCAATTTCGTGATTAGTGACTTTTTGTTGTCCTGGAATTTTTACTCAACGTGTACATAGCCGTTGGGAATTGCTAAATGTGAGTTTCCTCTATTAAGATAATAGCTTTTGTTTTTTGTTCAGGTTTTTGGTCTTTGAAGGTCGGTGCGAAGTAGCGCTAACAGTAGGTTTGTGATTTATTAACGGTGTCAGAATTACGAATATTTTTTTCTGGAGAATTTTAGCGCTAGTGGTATCTGATCACTTAAGAAAAATGTACGTTGTTATGAATAATGAATCTTGTTAGACAGGCCATTTAACAACGCAATTTTTATTCTATTTCATTAATTATATTAGCAAGAAACAAATGAAATAAATAGAAATACAATTATAATACATTTTGCTTAGGCCATAGACAATATTAAATTATTAATATTCCAATTCTGAAGGCGTAGCAATTCGTAGTTCGCTACGCCGTAGCACTGCTACGACAGCTACGAGCAAAATCCTCAGAAATACTCTTTGATTAATTTATCACTTTACGAAAGCAATTCGAAATTGCATTCTATGTTGAATTTTCTCCTTTCATCCTAGAATTTTGCTTGACGTAAATTAAGATGACAGAGATAAAAACGTAACTGTCTTCTGAGGCCTTAGTACGACTTTGTTTTACGTTTCAAGTAATCGTAACGAGTTCGCGTTCGGCGCTGTGATTGGTTGCTTCATTGCCGCCGGCCAATAAGAGTGCCGAACGCGCACTCGTTTCGAATATTTTAAACGTTAATCAAACTCGTACTAAGGCCTCTGTTCAATCATTTTGTTTGACTGTTTGACTCGAAGGACATAGAATCTTTGTTATCAGATTATTATAATGAATGGAATATTTAAGAGTTGCTTAAGAATATTTGTAAAGAATAAACGTAACACCTTAATTTTAAGGAAACGTACATTTTCTAACGACATGTGCTTTTCGTACTCCATAATGGTTTATGGGGTTGTATGGTTACATCCCTGTCAATTTCCGTGTTCTATTTCCTCTAAACGTGTTGCGTCGAAAATGTAACTGTTCATACTCTTTGCCATCTGTATTAATAAGACTGCCCTTATTTCCTGATGATGACTGTGATATCGGTTTAATAATTTTTTGACAGTTAACTTATGACTCCCAAGGCAACCTATTTCTATAAAGGGAGCAGAGAAGTTTTAGAGACCACTATAATAGTTTGATTTCTCCTGCCTTGAGTTAGGTGGGAGGGAGTGTCAGACTCTTTCTGACTAAAAACCACCCCGTTCCTACTCCTGCTCTTCGAGCCGGAGCCTTGGCAACCCGTTACATTAAAATAGTTAACAATGAAAATACTTCAATATCTAATAATTCTTCCTACAAACCATTCGTATTCACTACTAAAATTAGCAATTTGTCAATTCTGTAAATCACCTGAAAAATAAAAAGGTTTAGGTTCTCAACAAAAAACCGGATATATGTTCATCCGAATATATTCCGCCACATGACAATGATGAATTGTGTAATTATCTCCGACATTTTTAGGGTATTTAAGCGGGTTAGCCATTTAAATGTAAGGGGATGTAGGTTTTGGATTTTTTGCTTCCAAGTAATTAAATAGCCCAGGTTGATTAGGGTTGCGTACAATGAAAAAATGATTACTCCGTTTCCACCACTTTTAAGGTTCCTTGTCCTATCTCAAGAACTCCCCATTAAAATTAGATTAAGCTTGTTTCTGCGAAAAATGCTCTGGTAGGCAACAAATGATTGTGGATTTTTCGCAGTTCAGTTTTATGTTTTCGGTATTTAAGCGATATTCTGAGTCATTTGATGTTTTACTGTGGTAATTAGTAACCCAATTACATTGAGAACTCATTTTGATTTAATAACAATCTTGATTAAATATTTATGAAGTACAAAATAATACATTACTAGCGACCCGCCCCGGCTTCGCACGGGTGCAATATGCATGTATTATACATATAAACCTTCCTTAAGAATCACTCTATCTATTAAAAAAAACCGCATCAAAATCCGTTGCGTAGTTTTAAAGATCTAAGCATACATACGGACATACAGCGAAAGCGACTTTGTTTTATACTATGTATTGATTATGTGTTGTTGTATTCATACTTACAAATATTATTTTCATTATCAGCTGAAAGATCTCTACTACTAAACAAAGATCTCCTCCATAGTCTTCCACGGCAAATGACATCTAGCCATTTACATCCCATAGCTCCCCATAAGATTGATAAGACAATACAATATATTTTGACCAAAAAAATCATACAATACCATTGATAGAATCGCAACAGACTCTCATAAATATGCACACCTCTCTGTTTTATAACGAAGACCTTTAATTTTATTCAAACATCAAATAAAACGACGGTGATTGATGATTTGATTTTCAATTTCAGCATTCTGTTGAATCTACTACATTATTTCTTCGAACATAATTGATGGCACTTTATATAATCTGAATAAATTATTAAGAGACAATACATTACTGAGTCATTTAGCTAAAGTGATGTTTAGTCGTCTCAAGTATTAGATTACTGTGAATTTGTCTTAATGTTTTGGTTTTTTATATTGTCAATATTACCTCTAATTTATTTTCCACTCATATATGAGATAACTTCACATTATGATACAGCTTCAGTTTTATATATTTTTATGGTATGAGCTGGTAAAGGAGCAGACGGATCACCTGATGGTAAGCAATCGGCGTCACCCATGGACACCTGGATCACCAGAGGCGTTACAACTACGTTGCCGGTCTTTCGGGGATCGAGAATTAGGATTGTAGGGGGATTCAGGGAATCAAGGAGGGAAACACAACGCAAGCGTTGTTTCACATCGGTTTTTTGTGAGGCCGTGGTATGAGCCGTGATATAAGCATGGCTCTCTTACACTTAGTTTATATTTGTGTGCTACTTAGATACTTAATCACATTTTCCTCAATATTATTTAAAAAGTTACTTGCTTGACTTCCTAGTTACTTACAACTAACTTATTGTCTCTGCGGTTGATTGTTGGAAAAAATGTAAACTTAGTATGATGCATAGCAAATAATACGAGGATTGCAACGTCACATCTTTTTTTTAAAAACTATTCATTCCTTTGTACCTTTCTGTTTAGTATACATTTGTGGTATAGAATAAAAAAATAACCTATAAACATTACTCCTATTGCTTATTGTTTAACTCAAAGGAAAAGCGAATATTGTAAAGTATTATTGTACGTCTGTGCGTAATACCTCTATATATTATAGCAAAATGAATAATTTTAATTTTCAAATAAGGAAAATAATGAGGAACATCATAGATTATGTATGTAGATTGAAGGTACTTTTTAAATCTGCCCTTTGGCTAGAAAACACAGGCCACATAAAAAGATTTTTTTAATTCAACATGGTTTCCAAATTATATATTTGATTCATAAAACTGTATAAAAAGCTGGTGTTTTTTTCCATTTTTCCTAAAAAGATAGGTCCATGATATTTATCGAATCGAAATAAAATCAAAGTTAATATAAATTTATTTTGCTCTTCAACTGACCTTTAAATGTCGTTTATCTAGAAGGGCTAAGTAATTTGCATAAAATAAATATTCTCGACTAATTGCTCAAAGATTATTCTTTATTAATGGTTCATTCGTTATTACTTAAAAGCAATGTATCAGACAGTAATAAAGTAACATAACATAACATCACGCCTTTTATCCCCGAAGGGGTAGGCAGTGGTGCACATTATGCCACTGCAATGTAATACCCACTTTTCACTATTTATGTTATGAGTCCCATGTAATAGGGGGTGAGCCCATTGCCATATACCGGGCACATTTCCTAACTCCGTGCTTTTACTGAGTTTTTTTACAAACCCAGTATTACTTTGTCTGACCCGGGAATCGAACCCGAGACCCCTTGCCCGGCAGTCGCACTTTCGACCACACAGCCAATGAGGCAGTAACAAAGTAAAAAGTAAGTAAATTCAGATTTATGTCTGACATACGCGTGTAGCAATGAAACAAAAACTTGGCGCCTCCCAGTCAAAGTTCAGCATTATTGTTAGTAGAATAATTTGATTTCGGTACCAACTCCAATATTGAATTTCCAAGGAAGCTTGTTCAAGTTACGTTTTCTTATGTTGGCACAATCATTTTCGTTGTTTACACTGTTATGTTGGTAATGCCACGTTATGATCTATAAAGTAAGTTTGCTAGTCTTTGATCGTGTTCGTGTATTAAAGTTTCCTCAATATAAATATGTTGTTTCTGGATTTTGTTTAATTTAATACTGAAGTTTTCTTGAATCAATATGTTTAAGGTTCCCGTTATTAATATTGTTTTGTGCTTATTAGTCGTGTAGCGTCTTCGCTTTCGCCTAAAGGAAAAGGATTTATTAAAATTCCTTTCTTAAAATTGGTCAGTTACTTAATACAAAGTTTCGTAGATTTATTTAATAAGAATGATTAGGTAACTAAAAATCACTCACGTTAATATACTGACAAAAGCTCTACGAATTTCGAGTCACAGAAGGACTCTTCCTCGTGAGCAGTGTGCGCGGTCACGGCGACTTACCTAACTCTTTAGTTGATTGAATATGTCTCACTATAGTAATTATGAAAAAATATCAGTGATTATGTAACTGAATGTACTGTTGAAATAAAGTAATAGTAGTGATATCTATAGTTTGTATAGGTAGTGCTTTAACAAATTAAATTAATTGGCATAAAGGTTCCTGGCTGCAACTTTTTAATAGAAATGAAATTGAAATGAAATGCATTTCCAATAAACTTCTTTGTAAAAAATTATGAATAATTTTTCAGATACAGCACAAATCTAGAATACGGTAGTTGACAACTATGTGCATAATTAAATTCGATATTTTATCCATATGTCAAAAGCGATGAAAGGCATTTTTGACATATTAAAAGGCCTTGTGCGTTGGCGTCCTTTTTAAAAGGCCGGTAACATAACTGTATCTCCTCTGGTGTTGCGCGTTGTAATGCCTCTGGTGTTCCAGATGTCCATGAGCGACGCGGATCGCTTACCATGAGGTGATCCGTCTGTTGGTTTATCTCCTATTCCTTA